CACCGAAAATGGGATTCTCCTATCTACCTACTCCAGGACTTCTGTGAGGATCAAATGAGATGAGGTACGGGAAAATGCTTCACAGACATTTGGTTACAGTGTAAAGTGTTTGCACCTGGCTATAAAGTAAGTCTTGTTCCTGGGCTGAAGAAACTCCAAGGAGGCTAGTTGCTAGGGAGAGGAAGCTGGGTTTTGCTACGTGATGTCATTACCTGGACGGACACTTAGCATATTAGCCTTTTATATACTAGTATATAGATTATTTTACGGATATGAAAACGGGGAGATGAAATTCTCCCACTTACACGGCTACCCCAGAAGTATGTAAAATCCGACACCCATTCACCTAGACCAAATCTCAGAACTTGAAGGGTGGGTACTCAATGAGATCAAACAGCTACTGAATAAGTCTCTGACCTGCAAAATGAGAACGAAGTAGTCTACAGGTTTGTTGCGCTGGTAGAGGTAGTATTCTGGGGCTTTCTTGTTCTTCTCATCATACTTCAGTTCCTGGATGACATTGGGGTGCTTTAGCAGCCTTAGAAGGATCTTCTCTGACATCTGGGATGGGCTAAATGCTTCTACTTCTACAGATATAAACACAACTTGACATTACACTTCAAATGGACAGAAAATATTAGACTAGTGATTAAGGTATTTGGGTAATAATACTTGGAATTAAAGTGATGCAATATGGATTAACGAGGCTTCCGTTTGGTGATCCACTGGGGGCAGATTACCTGGGAGAAATTAGAAAATGCTGCATTTTCATATTTGTTTCTTTAAAATTCTTCCTTTTCAATCTGTCATTGGTTTTAGTTCTCATAAGAACACTCTAATTTTCTGACTGATACAAATGAAAATCAACCGGAAGCAGGCTCCTTGACTGCCAGGATGTCCTTCAACAGCCACAACAGCCTGACTGTCCAACAACAGCCAAAGGAAGAAGCAACGGTCAGGAAGCATCTAGCTGTGGGTTAGTACCAGGTGCACAACGCAGTGCCCCACATCTCCATCTCCCATTCAACTGCCCTGAGAAAAGTCTGGGAATGAGGGACACAGAGAGACTCGGGATAAAAGCAAGGCACGTGCACACATCAACATGCACTCCAACTTGCTAATTTAAAAAAGTTATGTTCATCTATATTTACAAAGACATACATTTTATTTAAGATAAAAGCCAAAATTACTGATTTAAAGGTGTTATTCTGAAACTGGACTTTATGGTATCTCAGAGGCAGAGTAGGATAACATTTCATTTTAAATTGTGGTTCTTGGGTGATGAAGAAGAATATCACATTAGAGAAAGAATAAGCAAGGAAGTTAGAAATACTGCTTATAGGTTTTTAAATGTTTTAAATGATGTTATATGTGAAAAATATAAATTCTGTATTAGCTTCTGTGCTTTTTTGTAATAACAAAATAAGATAGTACATTGTAGAAATTTTGGAAAATACAGAAAAAGACAAAGAGGACAATAAATAGTGACCTATAAACCAACCACTGTGAGCAACTGGTGATGAGCATTTCCTCCCAGTACCTCGCCTAGGCCTGTGCCTGCGCATGTGTGTACGTCCAAAAGACTCTATCACCTTCCTGTACACACAGATTTATATCCTGTTTGTCCTCACTTTACATTAAATTATGAGTATTTCCCCATGTTGTAAATATTATATTGTGAGCATTTCCATTATCTGAAAACATGATTTTAAAAAGTGCACAACATCCCCTCATGTGGCTGTTGTTGGCCTTCTTTTCAAAATATTCTAAGCGTGCTGCACGCAGTTGGAAGGTGCTGGCTGCCCATCTTGGACACAGACGTCTTCTACAGGTCACGGGGTACCTTCAGATTTTCTCTCACTTCCCCTGGCCAACAGAGCTCAGCCTTTACCTACAGAGCCACTGGGGATGTGAGAAGGGTTAGTCAGTCTCTTAAGTTCATTCAACCTTGACCTCTATGGAGCAGTCAGTGCCGGCTGGGTTGGTGTTTTTAACAATGTGCACATTTGCCTCCTGGAATGGGCCCAAGTTAATAATCTGATTTGAAGAGGCCGTCAAGAAATCCCTATCAAAGTTCTCAGAATTTCTGATTTCATTAAGTCCGAAAGATTTCACTTTGAAAATCTATTTTTCTTCTTTGTAAGTCAAAGCACCTGTGTTATCACTGACATCCACTGTTCCTCCAAGGCAAGCTGAAGAGAGAATTACTCAGCTGTCCGACACACAGCGAGGTGGTGTCTGGCTCGCACTGTCAGCCTACTCCGCCAGCTGGCGCTCCCAGGGGCTTAGCTGGAAGCAGAGGACCTGGCCTACTGTTCACATGCAGTGTGGCACTAACATTCATCCTTACCTTTCAGACCAATTTAAGTTACTGGTCCACCTGGTAAATGTCTCAGAGAGTTCATGCCGACACTGAACATAGGAGAGGAGAGAATTTAAAAAGAAAAAAACAAAACTAAAACAAAACACAAACGTGGCATTACTTTTCACCCCATTTCCCCGTCTCCACCCCAGCCCACCCCAGTCAGCGGTGGGTGAGAAACACTCGCTTCGGGGTTGGTAGAGATTTCAAACTGTGATAAGTTGCACTTGCCTGTTGCTAGGAAACGGTGCATGGCCAAGAGAAGCTGTGGTGATATTTTAACCTTCATCTCGCTGTCTGTCTGCTTAAAGGCAGAAAAATCTTGCTTTCTTTCACGATGGGCCACTTTCTTTTTCGTTCTGTTATCCGCTGAGGAAAGAATAAGAAAAAAGCAAGGAAATGCATTTCATTCTAGATCAGGGCCCTTTTTCAATGAAAAGAACAAAATATACTGCAAAGGCTAGAAGAGAGAATTAGTCAACCGTCCAACACACAATTCTCTCCAGATTTCGGACACTCTACGCCAGCCGTGGGCAAATTACGGCCCGCGGGCCGGATCCGGCCCGTTTGAAATGAATAAAACTAAAAAAAAAAATGACCGTACCCTTTTATGTAATGATGTTTACTTTGAATTTATATTAGTTCACACAAACACTCCATCCATGCTTTTGTTCCGGCCCTCCGGTCCAGTTTAAGAACCCATTGTGGCCCTCGAGTCAAAAAGTTTGCCCACCCCTGCTCTACGCACAAACACCACATGGAAAGAGGACAGAAGAGAGAATCCTCATCACATCAGTGCTGCGCGGTCAGAACGGCAATCCAGAGTCAGTAACAGGCAACCTGATTAGTAGCAACGACAAATATACCTCATGGTATCTTTAGAGCCCTTACAGGTACATGACTGGGCAGCCTCGAACAAAACCCTCCCCACATAAAACCTATATAACCCATAGCAACCGAGGATGTAGTCTAGGGCGCATAGTCTCCTGCTCCTGTGTCACTGCACAGCGAAGAACGGTCACTGTTACAGAGGACACGAAGGAAGTGTGTCCCTGCCTTGGGCAGGCTCCTAGCCTGTGCTGAAAGATGAAACAAATATCTGAGCACAATCTCTTAAGAAACAAACCAAAACACTTTCATAGAAAAGCACTTTAACAGTAACATCTGTAGCCCTGGCCAGCGTGGCTCAGTTACTTGAGCACTGTGCTGTGCACCGAAAGGTCACTGGTTCAATTCCCAGTCAGGGTGCATGCAGCAGGCAACTGATTGATGTTTCTCTCTCACATCAAAGTTTTTCTCTCTTTCTCTCTCCATTCCCCTCTCTCTAAAAAAATCAAGACTGTTTTAAGTAACATCTGTTAGCTTCATTTCTACCTAGATCACAAGATTCTCAAGGTCAAGCAAAAATGAAGAAAGTGATCCAGAACACAAGTCAGCAAACTTCCCCTGTAAAGGACTAAGTAGTAAATATTTCAGGCTCTGAAGATCATGCAGTCTCTGTTGCAACTACTAAGCTCTGCTATTTAGCAAAAGCTGCCATATTGAATGAATTAGAATGGTTGTGTTCCAATAAAACTTTATCACAGACATGAAATTTGAATTTCATATCATTTTCACATGTCACAAAATAATTCTTATTTTTTTTAACACAATTTTAAAATTCGTAGCTTGTGAGACACACGAAAACAGGGAACAGGCACTCGTGGACTGTAGTTTGCCAACTCCTGATCTAGAAGGTCTAATGCAAAACCTGTCTTCACATATTTTTCTGGACAAAATAATAATCAAGAAAAACACTAGATTAAAGACAAGGCCTCAAGTGCTTGCTCCTTTCCCCAAAATCAAAAGTCTTTGCACTACCATTTCATGTCTAGGGCGAAACAGATGGCTTACTAGGCTTGTTTTGGGGAGAAAATGATCACAACTTATACTGTTCTTCTATCTCAAATTCTTTTGAGAATCAGACAGTATAAATCAACACAAAGATGTAAAATAATGTTCAAATGACAAAAGTTATCATCTCTGATCACCTATTTAATTAATATACAGGAAACCACATGTTCAGCATTTCATATCAGTAAGTTACATTAGACAACACTTTTGTATGAAATCAATCTAACCAACGTTTGAAAAAAGTTCACAAGTACAAATAGAAGATCTCATAAATGTCTAAACTACCTTTCTTATGATGAGTAATACCCCTGGGGAAACACATAAATACACAAATACACACTTGGTATTAAACAGTCACTGTGAGGAACAATGAAAAAAAATGTAGACACGCATGACAATATTCTGTATTATGTGACCTCTGACTACTCTCCAAGTGTTGAAACCACATAGACACTGGAGTTTTTTAAGAACACTATAGAGATGTGAGGGGAAAATAAGATACTTCTCAGAAGCAGGTCACTGGCTAATTATAAAATCTATTCTTTTAAAGGGCATGTGGAAAACTTTCTCAATTTTAAAATAAGGGACATTCAGTTCTAGTGGAACTGAATCAAATCACTTTGCCCCGAGTGCCTCGGGCCATTTGAATGATCCGTTCCAATCGTGTTTCAAAAACCAAACAGCCGGCGCCCGGCTCTTTCTCTACCCGACCTTTGAGACCCCAAACATCTCAGGCCTTGGGACACCTTTGGCAAGAGTGAGGCTGAGGAAGGTTTAAGCTGCACAGTCCGACGATCCAGTTGTGGACTCAGATAGAACAGGATTCAGGTTCAACACTCAGCCCAGGATCCAGCCTACACCTGGGCAAACAGTGTGAATACTCCCCTCCCCCGCCCCTGGCACACGCTACTCCCCACCCCACCCCAAAGGAGCAGAGAAGCAGAAAAAGAAAGGGAAAAACACATTTTATTGTGTACCCCACCCTGTCCTGCCTTCTATACCCCACCTCACCACCGCTGCCCCAGCAAAACCACACTTGCAAACCTCACCTCTACCCTCATCTATCAGAGCTAGAAAATTTACACCACAGCTCTTCGTCAATTTAATAAATCCCCTCACTTTTTAAGGACTTGAATTATGACCTTAAGTAGAAACAGAAATTTATCTGAAAACAATTTACCTAATTGTGCAAAATAAATTTTCTGGTCAGGCCAAGTAATGCCCAGATGAATGGTTGGAATCAGCTGGCTTTTCAAAAAAAGAAAGAAAACCATATTGCCACTCAACATTACAGGACCTGCCCTGCTTGCCCCGCTCTGGTGACGAGACTGGATACACCGACAGGCCGCACACAGCCTACACACATAGTGCATAATTGGAAACAGGTGGACAACAACTGGAGGGACGTCAAATGACTCACAAACAACATGATCAAGAAAGCAAAGGTTTGGGAAAATTACTCTCAGGCAAAGCTACTCACTGTATAAATCTGTTTCATCCAGAATCTCCGATTTGATGATTTCTTCAATCACATCTTCTAAGGTGACAATTCCCAGGACTTCATAAAATGGATCCCCCTCCCCCTCATTGTTAACTCGCTGCACAATAGCCAGGTGAGATTTACCTTTGAAGAAAAGAAAGCAAAGGTTAAGAGGTAATCTTCTGAATTTCCTGAATAAAGTCTTAGGTATGATTATGGGGAAAAAACAGCAGCAAACACAGATACCAGATGATCAAAGTGTGCAGTGCAACATTTTAAAATGCATGGAAACACCCCAAACGGAAACGGTTCGTGAGTCATCAAAAGCAAGACCAGGTAAGCCAGAAGAATATCACCTTCTACACACACTGCCCTGCCCCCACATTACCACCGGGTTCCTAATAGAATTGTCTTCAGTGATGTTAGCTCTTCCTCTGTGACCTTTTGGCAGTTGCCACTTTACTTTAGGAGAGCGGTTCTCAAAGCATGGGCCAGGGACCCCTAAGGATGCCCAAGACCGTTTTATAGGAGGTCTGCTAAGTCCAATGGTTGGCATTTTGAACCAATGGTGCCTGAGCACAAATCAAGGCAGTGGAGGAAAATGTACTAGCGACTACGGGGTTCTCCACCACCACGTCAGTAACAAGGGGGGAGTCCATTTCCCTTAAGAATATCCTTAATAAAGCAGTAAGGGTTTTAATTCCATTATATCTTGGCACCAAGGACCTGCCTTTGAATATTCTATGTGACAAAAGGGAAGAGCATGAAACACGTGTGCTGCCTGCAGAAGTGTGACGGTGTCTTGAGGTAAAGCATTTGCACAATTGGTTCCAGCCGCTTTCTTCAATGAACATCAATTGACTTGAAAGAATGACTACTAGACAAACCATGGTATTTAGCTTATTATTGAGCAGACATTTTCCTAAAAGTGAACAAAACGAGCCCGTCACATTCAGGAAAACAGCAGCAGCCTTTGCTGCCACAGGACGCCACGGGCGATGCTCACCTTCGCCACCTGGTCATTCAGGCAGCGTCCCCCGCTTTCTGCGCTCTAAAGGCACTCTTTCTGTGTTGTGGAAGCAGGTCTAGCCTAACCTCAGGGAGGAGGGAGGGGTAAGAATGAAACTACTTCCTGGAGTGGGCAAGGATCTAAATATATTGTCCAGAATTCTGTAAGGAAGATTTCAGACCAAAGGATTTTAATTCAACTGCAGCCAAAATCCACTGTATAGTTTGATTCTACATTGCAACAAACCTTTAGAGAAAAGCAATATATATATATATATATGTGTGTGTGTGTGTGTGGCACCCAAAATCCACTGTATAGTTTGATTCTACATGGCAACAAACCTTTAGAGAAAAACAATATATATATATATATGTTATATGTATGTGTGTGTGTACACACACACACACACACACACACAGCAACGAACCTTTAAGAAACTATCACTTATGGAGTTTTGGTGTAGTATCAAGAGAATACCCACGATTATCAAAAAAGGCTATAGAAGAGGGTAGAGGTGAGGTTTTGCTGGGCCAGTGGTGGTGAGGTGAGGTATAGGAGACAGGACAGGGTGGGGCACGCAATAAAATGTGTTTTTCCCTTTCTTTTTCTGCTTCTCTGCCTCCTTTGGGGGTGGGGTGGGGAGTAACCTGGATCAAGGGAGTGGGAGGGGAGTATTCACACTGTTTGCCCAGGAGTAGGCTAGATCCTGGGCCGAGTGTTGAACCTTTTCCAGATACATATCTGTTTGAGGCCAGATTTTCTTCATATACTTCAACTAAAACAGTCGTACTGCACGGACTGAATGCGGAAGAGAGTCCAGCTGCCTTCCACTTAGCTAGATAATAAAGAGATCTACAAAAAAAAGGTAAAACAATAACACTTAATACTCTTATTTTGGAAAATAGTGATTTTAAGTTCAGTGTTATTTATGTTAACATAAAATGGATTTGTGATTGTCCTTTCAAAATGAATTAAAATGTTTTCAATTTCTCAGGTTTTTAAAAAATTTATTTATTGACTAGTGACCCGGTGCATGAAATTCGTGCATGGGGGGGGGGGGGTCCCTCAGCCCGGCCTGCACCCTCTCCAATCTGGGATCCCTCTCACAATCCGGAACCACTGGCTCCTAAACCGGCAGTCAGACATCTCTCTTGCAATCCGGGACTGCTGGCTCCTAACCGCTCACCTGGCTGCCTGCCTCATCGCCCTTAACTGCCTCTGCCTGCCTCGTTGTCCCTAACTGCCCTCCCCTGCTGGCCTGATCATCCCTAACTGCCTCTGCCTCAGCCCCCACCACCATGGCTTTGTCCGGAAGGAAGTCAGATGTCCGGAAGATGGCCGGTTGACCCAGTATAATTAGCATATTACCCTTTTATTAGTATAGATAGATTATATAGGATAGGATTGCTTAAATGGG